AAAATGAAAGTAGACCCTTACCTTACACCATACACACAAATGAACTCTAAATGGATTAAAGACTTGAATGTAAGACCTGAAACTATGAAACTGCTAAAAGAAAACAGAGGCAGTACGCTCTTCGACATCGGTCTTAGCAACATATTTTCAAGCACCATGTCTGACAGAGCAAGAGAAACAATAGAAAAAATAAACAAATGGGACTACATCAAACTAAAAAGCTTCTGCACAGCAAAGGAAACCATCAACAAAACGAAAAGACAACCTAACAATTGGGAGAAGATATCTGCAAACCATAAATCTGATAAGGGCTTAATCTCCAAAATATATAAAGAACTCATGCATCTCAACAACAAAAAAACTACCAACCCAATTAAAAAATGGGCAAAAGACCTGAACAGACATTTCTCCAAAGACGATATACAGATGGCCAACAGACACATGAAAAGATGTTCAAAATCACTAACTATCAGGGAAATGCAAATCAAAACTACAATGAGATATCATCTCATGCCCGTCAGAATGGCTATAATTAACAAGACAGGAAACAACATGTGTTGGAGAGGATGTGGAGAGAAGGGAACTCTCATACACTGCTGGTGGGAGTGCAAACTGGTGCAGCCACTATGGAAAACAGTATGGAGATTCCTCAAAAAATCAAGGATAGAACTACCATATGATCCAGCTATCCCACTGCTGGGTATTTATCCAAAGAACTTGAAAACACCAATGCGTTAAGATACATGCACCCCTGTGTTCACTGCAGCGTTATTCACAATAGCCAAGACTTGGAAGCAACCTAAGTGCCCATCGAGGGACGAATGGATAAAGAAGATGTGGTATATATACACAATGGAATACTACTCAGCCATAAGAAACGATGAAATTCAGGCATTTGTGACAACATGGATGGACATTGAGGGTATAATGCAAAGTGAAATAAGTCAGAGGGAGAAGATCAAATACCATATGATTTCCTTCATTAAGTAGTAGATAATAACAACAATAAACAAACATAGAGACAGAGATTGGATTGGTGGTTACCAGAGGGGAAGGGGGGAGGGAGGAGGGTGAAAGGGATAATTCGGTACATGTGTGTGGTGATGGGTTGCAATTAGTATTTTGGTGGTGAACATGATGTAATCTATGCAGAAATAGAAGTAAAGTGATGTACACCTGAAATTTTTACAATGTTATAAACCAATGTTACTGCAATACACAAAAAATTAAAAAAAAAAAAAAGATGTGGATCTGAGTCATAACATCACCACTTATGTGACAGAGGGCAAATTATTTTATGACTTAATCTCTGTTTTTCAACTTATAAAATGTAGTAGATAATAACAACAACAAACAAACACATAGAGACAGAGATTGGATTGGTGGTTACCAAAGGGGAACGGCGGAGGTAGGAGGGCGAAAGGGATAATTAGGCACATGTGTGTGGTGATGCATTGTAATTAGTATTTGGGTGGTGAACATGAGAACATGATGTAATCCATGCAGAAACAGAAGTATAATGATGTACACCTGAAATTTATACAATGTTATAAACCAATGTTACCATAATAAACAAAAATAAATAAATTAATTAATAATAAAATGAAAACATAAATACTGACTTCAACAAAGTGCAATTTATGTTGAGGAATTCACAGAAATCCTGAGTAAAGAAGGGAAAATTTAAAGCTAGCCAGTCATATATATGGCTATCATGTGAGAGCAGTATAATTCAGGAGACGAACAGCGTGTTGACGTTTGTAACATTTCCATAATTCTAAGATAAAAACATGTAGGTATGGAGAAATGATCATTCACATAACATACATATATGTATTAATTTTGAATGATCAGTTAAGATATTGACTATTTACCTGAATAAAGAATATATGAGAGCAACTGTGGTGTACCAATGTGGGGTAGTGAGAATTGCCCATGCTGAGCGCAAGCAAAACAAGTTGCATTATCTGTAGAAAATTTAAAAACAGTAATAAAACCAACAAAAACCTGGTCTGCTTTAATTATCACCATGCTCTGGTAATTTTAAACAATGTCAGTGATAAAATACACCTCTCCAGAAAATTCCTGTCTTGGTGTAAGGTCTAATCAATTGATAAAGTTACTGTTGAGTTTTATTAATTCATATGTAAGCTTCAAATGAGCACATATTCATTAATAAGCATTGTATTGTACATAGAAGCAAATTTAGAGAACTCCCACTTATACCAATGGCACCTGACACACAAACTCAGCTACAGGAGTTCCTTTGGAGAGCAAGTTCAAAATGGTTTAGAATCATTGAAGCTTACTTTAGGTGCAATTCACGTCTCCAATAATCTGGTACAATATATCCTTGTTTAAACTATAGTTTCAAAATAAATAATGACAGTGCAATGAATGTCCCTACTTTTGGAGCAGGGCTCAGTATGCTTTCTTTATTACTTTCCTATTGCTGCTGTAACAAATTACCACAAACTTAGTGGCTTAAAACTAAAATGGTTGCAGTTTTCCTTTCTGTAAATACAAAAATTAGTCTGTGCCCTTTCCCTGCCTCCAAAAGATGTCATAGAGATAAGTAACTGGAACAGTACCATATTCTGAATAAATCATACATGTTTACATACTATGTTAAGCCTGGCCTGATATCATCTCCCAAATAATTCAGAGCAAGGGCTCATATCTCAACCTTCCTGGCTTCTAATTACAATGCTACCACATACTGATAGGCTCCCCCTTCTTCCAGTTCCCAATAGCATGTTCCTTACTTCCTTTTGAGCTCTCACAAGCAGCATCCTTAAAGTCCATATTTCCACTGACGGTTTGTTCAAGGCAATTTAGGCTTTCTCTATCATGTTCCTCAAAATTCTTCCAGCCTCCACTCGCTGCCTGATTCCAAAGCCACTCCCACATTTTAGGTACTTGTTTTAGCAGCACTCCACCTCCAATACCCAAGTCTGTAATAGTTTTCTACTACTCAGTAACAAATTACCACATTATTAGTGGCTTAAGACAACACCCATTATTATCTCACAGTCCTATGGGTTAGGAGTCCAAATAGGGCATAACTGGGTCCTCTGCACAGGGTCTCACAAGGCCAAAATCACAGTATCACCCAGGACTGCAATTTCATCTGAGGTTTCAGGCCTTTTCCAAGCTCACCTGTTGTTGGCAGAATTCAGTTCCTTCTAACTGTAGGAGTGAAAGTCCCATCTTCTTGCTGGCTGCCAGCATGGGAGCACCCTCAGCTCCCAAAGGCTACTCTCAGGTCCTTGCTACATGGCCCCTTCTCTCCCAACATGGCTGTTTACTTCTTCAAAGCCAACAGGAAAACATCTGCTGCTGCTTCTTGTCTCGTTTAAGGATTCATCTGATTAGGCCAGACCCACCCAGGATAATCTCCCTTTTGATTAACTCAAAATCAAATGGTTAGTAACTTAAACATGGGAATGAAATCCCCTCATATTCACAAGTCTTTACCACACTAACAGGAGGGAATTATACAAAGCGTGTACACTAGGAGTGGGAATCTTGGGGCCATCTTAAGAACTCTGTCCATTCTTTCCCCTTTAACCTTGGATGCTGCCATGGATTCCTGGCCTTACAGTGTAGTACAGTGCATCTGTGTTCTTATTCTCCTCCCTTTCCTCAGTTTTTATCCCCTAGTCCTTGGACAGATGTCTTGTGCTTTAATGCAGTCTGACTTTCAATGGTATGTTTCTTATTCTCTGTAAAATCAGAGAGAAGTAATTAAGCCAGTTTTCTTGCTGGTGAGTAATCTGGAAAAGGCCACCAGAGGCACAGTTGTATGTGGCCAGTAATCTTTATTCTTCCCCAGTCCCTCTAGCAATGTGTATGGACACATATTTGCAGATATTTAAGAATGTATGAACTAGAGAAAATTAATACAGTAAAGGAAGTTCTTAATTTAAAAAGGTCTTCCTAGTATGAAGTATTTAACACTCTCCTATCCCTTTAAATATATATTTTTATAAAAAGAAAACTCTAACAAATGTTTTAAATATTTTTAAGAATTGGCCAAAGAGAATTCATAGAGAAACCTAGGTGCTTTGTGCACAATTGTTGCTGCTAGCTGTGTGCATCTCTAGTTCAGCTCTTGCCTAGGGGACAATTCATCAATTAAGTTTCATTTTTATTTTTCTCCTATGTCCACTGGGAAAAAAAACTCATTTCCCTCCTTTTCTCTGCTAAATTCTTTCTTGCATGATCCTGCTGTAGTTATACTTTTAAGAGTACTTACTGTATGCACTATAAACATTGTAGCTTCCTCTAGTTTTAGCAATCAAGGTCAGTATGTCTATGGGGATATGCACAAACTTTTATACATATGTGAAGATAACTGAAACATGCACTCTTAAAAGTCATTAGATGAGAAAGAACACCCCCCCCCGCAACCATATAAAATCAATTGGTCTATTTTTGTAGTCTGACAAAATATCATTTAAAAATATGTTCATTTTGTGTTAATGTATAAACGTATGCTATTGTCCATAGCATTAAAAAATGGAAGCCACCCTACTAGGCTTTATAGTTAATTATTAATTTCTGCTAGCTTTCAGGTGATAGCTTGGCTACCAGAAGAGAAGCAGGTACTGAAGCAGGTCTAGTCTCTGGCTCCTCAGATGTAAACTGGGCTGCATTCACTAGTCTGACAGGTTCAGGCTGCTGCTATTATCCCCATAGAGCATTTATCAAATCTTTTGCCAGATATATCAAAGAAAATCAGAAAGCTATAGTCACTCAAATGCCAAGAGTCAACTCTTATGTAACGATTTCTAATCCCAAAACCATGTACAACTTAACAGGTTTGAGGGAACTTCACTACAGGAAACAGTGAGAAGCATTAAGAAACAGGCATAAATCATTTTATATAAGACATGGTGAAGAGATTATATACCTGCAAAAAAATCTGAAGTGTGAAATAATTTTAAATACCTTTTAAAAGTCAATCACAGATATATAGTCATGAAAAGCAGAAGAAATTTATTTACAAAATTTCTTACTCAACCAGTGGGGAGAGCCAAGAAACTATATATCAAGAAACAATCAACTAAGACCCCACTAAGCCTTTAAGCCAGTTCATACAAGAGAACAACCAGAGCAGCTTCTGATTATTAGGCTAGAAAGACATCCTTCTGCATGTCCTTCAATTGCACAAGGACACACATTTAACCATAGGGGGTCTATGCAAGTAGCATCATGGAACTTGTAGGGTCAGTTGAGTCAAAGCTTCTACAGTGCTGTTCCCTGTCTACCTTACATAGCTGTTTCACCACTTTCGCTGATTTCTTTGTTGGCTTCTTTCTCTTTTTCTTCTACACTGTCAGATCCTTTCTCTCCTCCATTATCGGCTCCTTTCTCTTCTTCTTTGTCCTGAACACTGGTGTAAACCGCTTTGTTATAGCCTTCCCGATTTCGAGCAATTTCAATGGCAAAAAACTGTATCCTGGGAGCTGAAAGGTGCACAGAATTGATTATTGTCCTAGTCACAGCTACTTCTCTAAACCCACTAGAAATCTATTGACAAAGCTGAACTAACATGCAGAGCATTCCAGTATAGTCATAAGCTTCAGAGATGTGGAATTCTAATCCTATATTAAATGAGGCTGAAAATACTTAACTATGTTATCTCACAATTATTCAAGAAACAGTAACATGATCTTTAAAGATATAACAAATAAGATGATCCCCAAACTATCCATGTCACTGATTCATCAGTAAAACCACATCCCTCACTCTCCCTATACAGAAACAATTCCAGAGGCAAGAAACTCACCAAAGATGGTGTTTTCCTCAGTGTAACCCTGAGAACAATCCAGTCGCAGCAAAGTACCATAGTTGAAGTCTTCTACAATCCCGTCAAACTTCAAGCAGAATGGCCTCCACTTCTATAAAGGCAAAAAAGATGCCTTAGCTGACAAATGCAGGAGGCCGGTGAAGTCAGGCCAGGAGAGGGGCTTCCACTTTTCCAGTAAGGAAAATAACCATAATAAAAGAGACTAGGATTGAGCTGATTGCTAGTGTCACTAGCAGCGAGTTTTTGTGCTATCTATTATATCCTTAGACTAGTATTTACCAACATAAATGATACTTTAACCTGACAAAATACTTAAATCCTTGGCTACAGAATTAAAATATGATTTCTTGAAAAAATTCTGTTTTGTTTTTAAGTTATTGGCTAGCTCAGCCCAAAATGGTTATTCATCCCCACTGACACACAAAGGAGACAAAGAAGGCAGGAATTTGGCCCAAAGTCACAAAGTTAAATTTTAGGAAAAAAGTCCATTCAGTAGAGGCAATTTTCCAAAGATCAGTAACAGACTGCTAAGAGTTAAAAGTTTACATTTCTTCATAAGCCAAGGGCCTACCCTCAGGGAAAAATTTTTCCCAACTATAAGAGTTTTAGTGCTCTGTAAAAGTACAAGATAATCAAATAAGCAACGCGAAACACAAGTTTTCCAATTATGTACTGCCTGTGATAATGTGAACTTAAGTCTAGAGAATCCAAACACCTCCCTGTACTTTATTTACCAATCCTCCACCCAAGCCTTCTGGCTAAACTACTCACATAAGTCAATTTATTCCTGCTCCCCTCAAAGGGCTGGGTGGGTAGGGATGAAATGTCCAAATCAAAAAGGAGAAAAAATAGATTTAATGAACACGAAAAATCCATAAACCAGAAAAACATTCATTTTGTAACTTACTTCTTAGTTGATTATAACTACATAAAAGCCCTGGTTCTTTATGTATTTTCCTTAAAACAAACCAAAAATAAAGAGTTTAATTGTATAAAAATGTATTCACAATCAATAATTGTTGGTCAGATGCTAGGCAATATTTAAGAGAAAGAATTCTTACCTCTTTAGCCGATTCTGATTTGAGCTCTTCTGGGTCCAATACATCTATCCTGAGTTTCTCAAAATTTTCCCGAAACTCAGAATAGATTTGGTCATCCACTCTGGTGAGTTTCAGGAACTGTGGGTCAACTGATGAAATCAGCTGCCAGACAATAAGACAACATACAGATGCTAGTCTCTAATTTACTACACTTCTATCCTCCCTTCTCTAGAAAACCCTTATGGTTCTCAGGGTAGAAGAGGTCGTTAGGAAGTATAGACAGCCTAGGTCCCAGATGAAATCATGATATAGTTTTAAAGGGCCGTAATATACTACAGTTCCTTCCACCGATTTAAACCCCTTCTGGTCCAACTACTGCCTGGCTATTGCCCTCTGTGTACTGTTCATTCAGTCAACAAACATCTATTAAGTGCCTACTATGGGCCAGGCACCCTTTTGCCAGTTAGCAACAGAACACTGGGAAAAGAAGCATAACTCCTCATTGTCAAAACAAGATTCGCTTCCATCCCCCGCCCCCCCCACCCCTCGTTCTCTCTGGGTAAGATCTTACAGTAATAAAAATTACCTCCAAAACACAACTGTTTAACTTGCTCAGAATACTGATTAGCAGAGCACCTTACACTACAATTATATGTTTAATTCTGCTTAATATTGAAGACAGACAATTTACCTTGTAGTAGACTTCGGCATGCTGCATTGCTCTCATGGCCCAAGCCATCTCAATATCAGGCTGCAAAGGAGTGAAGAATGCCAGGTCAGCAATCTCCCAATCCTGATACTAGAGAACAAATTAAGGAAGTCTGTGGATGTCCAGTTAATGCTCAAGAGGGGTACCAAACTTGGTGTTACCGTCAAAGGATAAAAACTGGACTAATGGGTTTGGACAATATGATAATTATTTTGTCCTTATGACAACCAAAAGAAGCTACAGTCTAATAAACAGAGTGGGCCACTGGCTATCTTTTCCCAGCAGCTAGTGAAAGTGTGGGAGAGTACATAAAGCAGTAGATAAATTGCCTTCTCAGGACTAAGTTAAATCATTGTAAAACTGAAATAATATACCCACATACACCAAGTTGTTTAGAGGACAAAATGAGATAATGGAAATAAAATTACTTTTCACTTTTAAGAGAGTAGCATATTGTAATCATCGTTTGTTTTTATCAGATAGCTAATTCTCCATCCTATAACACTTAGAAATGAATCAATTCCATCAAGTAGGCTAGGTTATAAATAAGCTTTACCAAGCACCCACCACGTGTTCCATTGGAATCTCCCACTCCAACTAGACAGATCTATTTCACTGACCCCAGAAAAAGCCATTTGCATTTGTACCTCCATGCCTTACACCATGCCCTTTTCCTGACTGCCAATCCATGTCCTCCGTCCACCTACACTTTGAGAATCCAGTTCGAGATCCACTTCCTCAGTGAAGTCTTCCTCTATTGTCTTGGTTCTTAGGGGATTTCTTCATCAACTAAAACCCTTTGGATCTTAAGTCCTGATCCACTCATCTACCATACATCATTCTCATTTGATTTGTTATTACTATTCTCATGTCCCTGTGTCTTGTATCTCAAAATACATCATGTGCTTTCTCCTTAAGGATCTAAACCAGACACATCATAAGCCAGTGCAACTTTACTGCACAATGGAATCACTCGGGGAAGTTTAAAAAATACTGATTCCCCACTCTCGCCTTCCAGATATTCTGATTTAATTGGTATAGATTACGACCTAGACATCCGGATATTTAAAACCTTCCCAGGTGATTTTAAAGTGCAGCAAAGTTTGGAAACTACTTCCATTGGCATTGTTCCTGCGATTGTGGACCAAAAAGATTAGAATGAATTGAAAGGCGCAGTTTCTGGCGGACGTGGAGAGGGTCTACATAAGATATCAGGATAGGGGGTTACAATTTCGTGACAGGCCCTGCAGACATCCCAGGCTAACTGGGTGAGTGGGAGCTGTGGACGAGTCATACTCACATCGTTGCTGTAAGATTCGGCTGGGAGAGAAAGAGCATGTGCCACTGACACCAGCTCCCCGGAAACCTGGGAAGGGGAAAAAAGGGAGGGAGGGAGAGTTCAAGGCTTGACCCGGCTCGGTTTCCCCACTCACCCGACCCCAGAGCAGCGTCTCACCAGCTCCTCAGTTCCACTAGTCGCCTCCATGTTGCAGCCCACAAAGTGTGACTCCCCTTTCCCGGAAATGACTTTTCGTGCGCGCCTTCCGCAGTCGGTTGGAAAGAGAGGGTCTGGCAAGAGTGGCTCTCCTTCAGCTGCGCCTGCGCGCACCGTCCCCCGCCTCCAGGCGGTAGTCCTTGGCCCCGCCTCACTCGCCCTGCGCAGACGCAAAGGTGTTGCCTTGTTGCGTAGTCTGGGCAGCTTGAGGAATCTGAAGCCGTTGAATACTCAGTAATACTGGTGGTAATCATGGGAAAAGCATCAGTTAAAATAATGCAGCTTTCGCATCCCCACTGCACTGAGTGCCCAGCAGAGATTCGAATTTACACTCTCCATTTGTGTTCGCGGGCGCATACACACACATACACACACCTCCCAATACACCAAAGCAAGGAGTGAATCACAAACAGACATGTTGCTAGGCAGTGGAGCTAAAGCATGAAGAATGTAGTCCCTGCCTTAGAAGAACTATATACAGAAAGGGAGCAGATAAAGTGGTGATCACATCGTAGCATTGTATATGTACTAACACAAATAGGGGATACCTAAGCCACTCACAAAAGGCAATAGGCCAACTAGCCAAGCAGGCAAGGAAGGACACTCCGGGCAGAGGGAAATGCATATACATAATCATTCAAGAATGAAAGATCATGTTAACTTGCTGGAAATTTGAAAAACACAGCTGAAGCAAGAGGGTAGTCATCTATCATTTTGGGACAGAAGAGAGGCATTGCAGGCTAACTATTAGGAAGTTGAGACTTTACCCTAAAAGCAACGGTAAGCTACTGAAGGCCTTTAAGTAGACCAGCCTCAATGATCAAACTTAAGTTTTAAGAAGATCACTAAAACACAATGTGGAAGATAAATTTGAGGAAGGCAAAATTGGAGGCAGAGAGACCAACTGGAACGCTGGGTGATGAAAACCTAAGTCAAGGCACTGACAGTTGAGATGGATTTTGAGAATTAATAAGGGAAATAGAATCAATAGGACTTTTTGACTAGTGGATATGGAGGATAAAGAAGAATTAGGATTCCAGTATGACTCCCAGGTTTCAGAATAGGATTTGGGGATGAATGTCATTGAGCCAGAAAACACAGGAGGAGGGATGATAAGTTTAATTTGAGGAATTGAGTTTGGATCGATGACAATACATCCAGGGCATTATGGGAAGACAGAGGAGGGTTCTAAGCTATCCTTGGGGCATGGTGGAATCTGCACAACTCCTATAGTAAACACACCTTAGGCTAAGGTTGGAAGCTTCTGATGCATCAAGTTCTGAGGAAAATCCTGGGAATTCTGATTTAATATTATTCACGAGTAAGGTAGGGAAATAATCATTCTGTTAACTGCTGAGTCTGTCGCATGGGACTCACACGGGACTCAGATTGTCCCATACCAGTCAGAGTGTGTGTGTGCGGGTGTGTGTGCGGGCGCGCGTGTGTGTGTGTGTGCCTGTGAGTGAGTATATGTTTAAGAGAGAAGACACCTCCTCAGGCACACCAGGGGCAGTTCAAGTGGTCTGAAATCAGGCCAGGTTTAAAATCGCCTCCTCCTTGGAAATTACCAACCTTACTCTCCTGTTCAGTCTCAGGGCCATGATGGTTTACGGTTAAAGTATGTCATCTTTTATTTTGGAGGCACCTCAGTTTTATTATCTGTTTATTGAGCTAGAATATTGAGCTCAATAATAAGTTTTTTTATTAGGCTGTTTTCTGAGCTCACTGAGCCTTGGTTTCCTCACTTCAAAAGTGGAGGTTATAGTCACCCTTGCCTCACTTGGTTGTTTTAATGATGGAGTTATATAATAAGTGAACAGTATGAGCTCTTAGCACAGGGCCTGGAACCTGGCAAATGCTCAGTAAATTCTAGATCATTCAGAACACCATGGACTTTCCAGACATAGCTCAGACTGAGGCTCTGAGATTATTTTCTGCAAAGATTCCTTTGTTCCACATCTGCTAAAGGAGAGGGAGGCCTGGGGCACGTGAAGAGGAAAAATAGGCATAAGTTAGCCCTGTACTTGTGGGTCCAGCTGCAACTTCCTGCTGCTGTGGTGAGCTAGGGCTGTCACATTGGTTGGGCATAGACCCCAGTCATGCCTGTCTTGCTGCAGTGTGTCATAACCTTTCCTCAAGGGGAGCTCTAAACGCTCCACTAAGCAAGCACAATACCAGGATGTTATAGCCAAGACTTTGGGCTGTAGAGGCAGAAGCCCTGGGTTTCAAGAAGAAAAATGAACTGAGCTCGTGGTTGGTCTCTCTATACAGTCACTCTTCTCTCCTTCTCTTCTTTCCTTTGTCTTTATTTACCCTCTCTCTCTCTACTCTCCCTCTCTTCCTTCTTTCTTGTTTTGCTTTCTTATAATCACAGAGCAATTTTTCAAAGAAACGTAAAACAGCTTTTTATGTTACTAACACTTGATAATCCAAGCCCCATCTCTAAATTTTCTCAGCTAGAAATGTGGCAAAGTTTTTGTCTCAGTTGTGCTTTTTTTTTTTTTCCCTAACTGATCAGAACAATTTGGTCATTTAGGACTTGGATCAATTCTTCACTCAGAGCCTTCTAAAGCCTTCCCCACACCCATATTTCAGATCTCCTTTGTCATTCCATTCCATCCTTGGGTGAGGATATGGAATTGTATGTCAGAATGTGCCATCAAGCCTGTCCCCTGCATGAGCCTGGTGATAACCTTGGCAGCCACGACACCCTGGTTGGGGCTGCTGAGTATGTTGATGCAGAGTTCACTGGGAGTTATGGGCAGGGATGAGACTTGGTGATGAGCCTGTTCTGATTCAGCCACATCTACAGGAGAGTTCAGGGCTCTGGACCCAGGTATTGCCAGTAGATTTCTCTGAGGGTGACTTCTGTCGTTCTTGGTGACACAGGGGCATCCTTTGTTCTGGCTCACCAGTTGCACTGATCACCTGCCGGGAGAGGGGGCCGTTTGGGCTGTGCTGAGTGACTTGCACTGCTTCATCACTCTTAGAGAAACAACACGTTCGGTTTTTACTCTCAGCCCCTCACTGGATTCACATTTGATCCCATGGGAGCTGGGCCAGGAGACAAACCTGACTAAGGGATATAGTCTTATCTTCAGAATCACCACTCCCCTCGAACAGCCGCAGTGCTGTTAGTGAGCCAAGCTGGGCTTCCTGGCTCTTTCTTCCTTAGGATGTAATTTCTTGGTATTCTTTTCAGTCCCTAAATCAAATAGTCCTCGGATAGGAAAGAAATGGTATCTCACTGTGACTAGAATTTTGTATTGCCTGACTAATTTTGAGGTTAAGCATCTTTTTCCATGAAGGATGGGGTATGTGGGAGGGGGGCAGGGGGGCCATTTCTGCAGGTCACCACACATGCTCAATGATGCCTGGAATGCAGCCAGGGACACCATTTAATCTCATGGTAGTAGGATACATGCTACATTATCTTACTCCCATAGGAAAGAGATACTGGGAAGTAAATTAAGAACTAAGAGTGACTATACATTGGTTGTGGAATTATGGGTGATTTTTTATTCATTCTGGTAACTTTCGGCTACTTTCCAAGTTTTCTCTGGTGAAGACGTCAAGTCCATATGGTGGCTTAAATACAAGAACAAGATCTGGATTGAAGGGCTGGCAGTGCTGGTCAGAGAAGCCTGAGTGACCTGGCTCTGGAGGTGTTGCCTGAGGCCACCCCCTGAGGTAAAAGGAAGCAAGAGAGAGAAACCTTCTGGGCCTTGACCCTGAAACATCAGGTAATAATTCATGACCCTCAAACTATTTGTGCCCCATTGGCTTCCCTGTGCACCTCCAAACTGATGAAATCTCATATCATGGATACCAGGGGCCTGGATTTCCAAGGATTCACTCGTTAGAATGTTTTGGCCTGACCAGGGCATTTTCCAGGTGGTTCTGGGGGTCAGTCCTCTAGGCAGGGTCATTCTAGGTAGAGAAGGCTTGGAGATGCCACAGTGCCATTGTAAGTCTAGCCTCTCTTGTATTTCATACTCCACTTCACCATCCTGGGTTAGCAGTGCAGGCTGTGGGAGATAATCCAGGTAGGGTGGGGACAGTCATACTGGCTAGTCTGGAGGAGGGAGCCTTAGAAGTTCAGTGGATTCACATGGGTAGGGAAAACCAGAGATAGATGGCCACAAGGATGATGATTGTTGTTTTCTAGAAAGGCTCCAGTAAACAGGCTCACAGTTTCTTTTTCTGGCAGGCAATATGGATGCACTAGGATGGAAGGTAGTCCTATCACCATTGGTCCATCAACAATCTAACGGTCTCAGCGGTGGCTGGTGATTGTATTTCTTCTCAGAGGGTGAACTGTAGAACAAGAATTTAGCATTGATCAGACAGGCACACCAGCGATGCTATTGGCAGAAAGTATAGCAGTATACATAGTATTTGTGGATATGATTGACAGATAAGCTTTATTCAAAGGTTGGCATGCACAAGGGGTAAGCTGACTCAGAGAGCCATCATATCTTGCCATCAAAAGCTGGGTTAAAAAAAAGAAAATCTCTGGCTGTGGTCATGTATCATGTGGCTCAAAAACTCCAGAAACAAACAGAAGATTTTATTAAAAGTATAAGCTGTTTCCAGCTTGACTAGGGCAGAGTGAGTGAAGGGGAGTGAGAAGGGGGATAGTGTAGGAGAGGAAGCCAGAGAGTTAGCCAGGAACTAAATCCAGTAGGGTCTTCACAGGCCCATAACTGGGCTTTTACTCTGAGTGAGATCAGGAGCCATTAGAGGGGTTTGAGCTGAGGAATTACACAGCTTATGAAATACAAAAGAGAATCAAAGTTTTAAAAACCATATTGAGTGAGGAAATCAAGGCCAAATTAAAATGAGGAAGTCTAATCAGATGATTGATTTGAACACAAAGTGCATGCCATAGAGTTCTATACATTTACTGCCAGTTGGCCACAGATGTGGATCTAAGTTTTCTAGCTGCCAAAATGGAAAGAGGGAAAGGTGATCACTGGCAGGAGTCACAGTATCCCTGAGATCAAACCTGACTAACTGCACAGAAGGAGCAACCATGCTTTTCCCTGAGATGAGTTGCTCCCATGAGT